CAAACAATGAGTGTAAGAGGACTAGTGAGTTAGAAACCCAACAGCTGAGTCATTTTGATACAGTCTGTGAAACTGCTCGCCCACATGACCTGTACTTCTGTGCCACAAACAAGGATGTAGTCATCAAGCAGCAGCACTGCTGTTCAACGATCCCATTAAACTGCTCTGTCCGCTATCCTTCCCCACCCTGCACATAGCTTTGGGGCAGGCACCAACGTCTTTGAGAACTTTTAGGTACAGAATTCTATCTTCTTCAATCAGAATGGCCAGTCCAATACATTATCCAAGTTCCCCATTCAGTCCAGTAAGACATTTCCTTCCTGGCCTAGCTTGGCCTGCCTTCAGCCTGGAAGCCTCCCTAAAGGTCCCCTGTTCTTTTCCCAAAACACCTCCTCTCCACTCCCTGCTTCCCCTTCCACATGCCAGGGCAGGTGGAGCTGGGCCCTGCTCTGGATGTGGTAGACGGACGGTGGCTAACTCCTGTGAGGCACGTGGTGGGATTCCTGGAGTCCTCTCCACTGGACACTAAAGGCCAGCTCCCCTGACTCAGGCAACGTCTGGATCCTCTCACGCTCACATCTACCCCGTGTCTGGCACCCTCTAGGGATCAATTCTTACTAGTGAATGAATGAAGGAGGGAAAAGAGAGGAAGTAGCAATAGTTCGTCCATGAGTTCCGTGGGGAAGGAGATTTTTATATGAGTAGGTCATTTTTATCTGATCTCATGCTTTTAAAACATTCCCCCTAACCTACAGTTAAGAAAACGAGGGATCATTTCATTCCTGGCCGGGTGTCCCTCCCATGGTACCAAGTCAGAGTGCACAGATCGTAACCTGCAGACACCACTGCAGGCTCCTTCCTTAGTACTGTTCTGTGGTCTGTAGGATCCCTCAAACAACTGGACAGAGTCTCTCTCCAGGATCAGTGGATCAATAAGGCAATGCAGGAAACCCAAAATTGCTACAGATTATACATACCAGGCCTCTAACACACACACTTGAGGTCAGCCTCAAAGCCCTGCCCTCTCTTGTCTGTGCACAGAAGACAAAGCAGCCCGGGAGCACATGGTTAAAAGCACCGTGGCCCCGAAACCTGCAGACAGCTTGGAATTGTGCAAATGACACATGAGGCCTCCTAGCAGGAAACACTTGAGAAGTGTGCAGACACCTAATGAGAACACTTCTTTCTCTCAGATTTTCTACACACACAGCCCTGATTTCTGGTCCCTTTGGTGGCTTTAGTCTCTGTCTTGGCTGACTTCGGGAACTATAAATGCTTGCAGATGGCCTCCTGGAGATAATGCATAAACTGGCTTTGAGAATTCTTCCTGGGCATCTCCCAGGTGCCCAGCATGGCAGAGTCCTGAGGAAGCAGACACAAAGATGAAGGAGACAAGCTGGGTCTGCAGGGAACTAAGGCTCCTTGTACTGGGATGAAATGTTCATCTCCTGTCCTTAGCTAGAAGGGATCTGGTCACACCCACCTATGGTGGACTTTATGTCTTTCATGCTTCTTGATTCAATGTTGCCTTTAACCCTCACTACATCCTTGGGGGAGGCAAGAGATGGACAGTTGTTCTCATTCTCAGAAGAGAATATTCACCCCCAGTGAGGCCGAGGGACAGAATCGGGCCCCACAGAAGATACAGTGGCAGAGTTGGAAGAAGAACACGTGTGTCCTGACTCTGGGCTCCTGCTTCCACTAACCCATAGACAAGGCATATGGGAGGAACCCAGCCAGGCCTTGTGGCTTCCTTTCAACATGAGAGGCAATAAATGAGTGAAAAGGCATAACAAAATGAAGAGAAACTAGGGCAGAATGTATAACAGATGAAAATTTTTGGAATCAGGAAAAAAAAAGCATCCTAGTCTTACCAAAGGAAAGACTTACTAAAGGAAAACCTAAGGTTCCAGAATGGCATTCTAGCACACTGCGGGGAAGGAGTTGAGGGTGACATCCTAGGGAAATTTTATTTCTCTGGAGAACCAACACTCATAATTCTGCCACTCTATTTCTCCTGAATTAAGTTCAGGGTCCTACCTACTCATATTACTCACCTTTGGTGAGAAATGAGAAATAGATACATGATACTTAATATTGTGTAGTAGATTCAATTCTCCAGATTATCTGGGGACAAAGCTACATCTTGTCACTTCCCTAAGGCTTTTCTGTTTTCAATAAACAGAAGTTATTTCTCTGGTTGGTCTACCATGTGAGCAGTAATGCAATTTGCCATGTTTGGCTGTATTTTTTTTTTTAAAGATTCCAACTTCCTACTCATTTTTTTGGGAAAATTATTAATTAAAAATAATCAGGTTGCCACAATAATGCCACAGTCTGGGACTCAACCAGCAGAGAGTGAATCAGATAATGAAAAATTCTATTGTCCAAGCCCTTCAGTTTGTGAGGTGAAAACCAAAGACAGCAACAGCGAGAGTTAACTAGCAGAGTTCTTTCTTTTTTAAAGTACCATGGCAGGTCTGCTTCTCTGGGGTCCATCAAGCCAGGGGCCACACCCACACCCCCACTGGCTCAGGCCACGTCAGGTGATGCAGAGCTCACCCAAACGAGGAAGGAGACAGGATGTGCACAAGATGAGGTTACAATGGGACAACTGGAAACCAACCACAGATCCTTAAAATACACTCACACATTCAGGGAAGGGAAGAAAAGACAAAGGTGGGAGTGGTAAGACCTTCCTCTGGCACATCAGGGTCTACATTTTATACAATAATCATGTCAGGACAAAAGACTGGATATTTGAGCACTGTGTACCATCCACACATGACTCCCATGTCGAGAGGGTCTGAGAAGCTGGGGTCCCAGTGTGGGCTCCCTAAATGGAACTGATGACCAAGTGCTTTTCCACATAGAAGCATGCCCTAAGTAACAGGCTACAAAGTATCCGAACTGTCCGGCTAACATTTAGGGTGCTTTGTGGATTACAACTAAATGCCTCAGGACGCAATATGAATAAAGAGACCCGTGCTTCCCTATCAAACCACTTTCTATCCCAGTGACTTGGTGCTATTCAATCTAATACTACCCATAGACACATACGTATTTGTGCAAGTACAACGCAGCCAAGGTCAAGCCAGATGATAACACCTTCCTGTAAATCTCTTTATCCTAGAAGCAAGGGATTCAGTCCAGCCATCTCCCCATCTCTGAGTTCTCTTCACCCAAAGTAGAGTGAGCCCCACATACTGAAAATTGCTTTGCGACTCTTTTCTAGCTACTATAAGAGTTCTGTGTGAATTTTGAGGGATTCTGGTTTCAGATCGTTAGAAAAAGAGGGCACTGGGGATTGACAGAGAGGAGGTGAGACTGGCAGGGAAGCCAGATTAGAGGTTTCGGAGAGAAGATTTGCAGACAGCAGGGAGCTGAGGCCCAGGTCAGCCTGGGCTTTGGCTTGCAGCTGGGAAGACAACGGAGGGGCCTCTGGGAAGCCTTGTGCCCTGGAGGCTTGTGCCACCTTTTTGAAGCATCCACGGACTCTTTGAATCAGAACTCAGGACCCTGGAGTCCAAAACCAGAGAGAAATGGGATGCCTGGTCAGATACAGGGTAGACTTCATTATCACATATCTGCAGTGAGCCAGACAGGACTTACAAGCAGCTCCCTCAGACGATAAGGAGGAGAGACTAGACATTTTCAGTGGGCTCAGGATGGTCCTTAGAATTTGAGTCATAAGCGATCCATTTTTACTTATTTAAGATGCATAAAATAAAATTTTTAGATCCCATATTTAATGTGCTACCTTCATTTTAACTTTAATTAACACTTAAGAATTGTCATGGGCTAACTGATGGCAAGGCCCAAATCCCACTTTTCCCAATGAGTGAATTCTCCTCCCACAGGGATTGCAGGTGCCTGGCTCTCTCCTGACCCCATCTCATGGACTGTGGTCACCAAGGGCCACATGGCAAACCCATGACAGCCTCTGGGAATATACTGAAGGGAGACCAGGGAGCTCCTCTTTTCTCTGTGTCTTCAAACATTTTATATGTTTAATGTGTTCTGATCTGAGCCACTCCGGGCCCCCTTCCCTCTCTTCAAAACTCTCCTGGCACAGTGCCAGGCAGCCATGCATCTGCCAGGGCCCATCCACTGCTCGGCAGCGGGTAACCAAAGCACAATGCGTGTCTCCAGCCCATGAAGCAAAGAAGGCCCTTACCTTATTTTCTGAAACTGTGATGTGGGTATACATTATACGAATGTGTACTGAAAACACACAAACAAATAGCAAGTAGGTCTCCTGTCAGCCTGATGTAATTTCAAAACAGAGTACTAGGAACCAGAACATCAAAGGCACGAGGCAAAATGTCTCCTAAATCCGCCTGAGAAAATAGTCCCCAACCAGACACCAAGGTGTGTGGGCCCAGAGTACTGCTCATCTCCGGGGCATCTGCTGTTTACCTCAGGGGAGGAGCGGCTGCTGACCCCCAGGGGCCCAGTCGCAGCTACCTTGAGGGCCCATGAATGGCTCCCTGGGAGGCACGATACGGTGGCTTTATGCCCCCGGGTAGGTGCCGTTGCCTCAAAAGATGAGGAAAGAGGGAAGCCGGGCTTCCCCTCCTGTGTCCTGCTGGATCCTGGATATTTGGCCAATACCCGTGTGTCTGCTTTGATCTGTATGTCTATCCTAGTTCTTCCCTTTTTTTTTTTTTAAGATTTGTATTTATTTATTTGACAGACAGAGATCACAAGTAGGCAGAGAGGCAGGCAGAGAGAGAGAAAGGGAAGCAGGCTCCCCGCTGAGCAGAGAACCTGATGTAGGGCTCCATCCCAGGACCCGGAAATCATGACCCAAGCCGAAGGCAGAGGCTTCAACACACTGAGCCCACCGGCGCCCCATTCCCTTTCTGTTCTAATTCCAAAGTTTCAGACCCTAACTCCACAGACTCAGAAGGCATTTTATAAATGTCACGACTTAAAAAGTTGGTTTTTAAAAAAAACAAAAAACCCTTGAAAGTAATCAATGATACCACTGAATTTACCTGTGCATGCTTTGAGACCCAGTGACGGAGGACATTCAGCACTCGATTGGTGGCTGTTCTCCGAATAATAAATTCTTTGTCACACGTCCTCTCAGTGTTGTTAAATCCTTGGGAGGAGAATAAACACACACATGTAGTTAAAGCCAATCCCCAGGAATCTGGAAAAGATCACTTATTTTAGGACCTGGGTTAACGGACACTTACAAATACACACCTTGGGAGAGAGGTATGCGGGGTTTCAGACTGTTGAGAATTCTGCTTACTTACTATTATACCCTCAGCTGTGAGGACACCACACAGATACAGGTGCAATTAAATGAATAATGTACACACATTTATTAAAGTCACTGATTAGAGCTAAAGCCGATCTAATGACATTTCCATTTATGCCTGCCTTGTTCTAGAACATAAAACCAAGAAAGTTTTAACAAAGCATTAAAGTGAACACTAGTTGATACTTTTGCCCCAAAGTCATACAACTAATAACATTTTCAATATTCAGATGGATTAGCCCACACCTTAGCTCATAGATGATACAAATACCTTATTATGCGCCCATGTACTGAGAAGGGGGATGGCAAAGTGGTTGGTTAAGAACATGATCTCTGCAGCCAGACTGTCTGGGTTCAAACCTCTGTTGTCCTACCCTGGCAAGATACAGCACTTCTCTGTGACTGGTTTCCTTGTGTCCTGCACGGGCTATTATGTACCCACCTCACAGTGTTGTTATGGAGATTTAGTCAATACATGTCAAGCATTTAGAATGACATCTGGAACAACAGTGAGAGCTGAATAAATACACTTCAGTACTGGTTAAGTGTCTTTGGTTCCCCACTGTGCCAATGTAGGTCTCAGTCACCTTTTCACTATCAAGAAACTACTTCAATTTTTTTTCTATTGAGTCTCTGTTTTAAAAGATTTTACCTTCCAATCATGATTAAGTGACATATTTCCCTTAAAAAATGAATGCAAACCTTATATAACTTATATAACTTCACTGGCAAAGTTCCTGAAAGTTGTCTACACTCACTTATTCCATTTCCTCATCTTCTACATGCTATCCATCCTACTTCCTTCTGCATCCTACTCCAAGCTTCTCACCCCCACCTTACCACCTAAACAGCTCTTATTAAGGTCACTAGTAACCTGCATGTCTCTGTATCCAGGGGTATCTATCATCTCTCCATTGGAAAGCTCATCTGATAAATACCTAAAATCAAATCCTCATGTATTTATATCCCTAGATCTCTTTTCTGGGCTCTGGATCCATGTATCCAACTGTTTTTTGATATTTTCCTTTTAGATGTTTTAAAAACCTCAGACCCAATCTGTATAAAAGAAAAAGCCATGGCCTTCCACCAAACCATGTCCTTATCCAGTGGTCCCAATTTCCTAAAGAGACATCACTAGCCATCTCGTTATATAAGCCAGAAACTGTGGAATTGTTCCTGGCCCATCTCTCTCACCTTCTTTCCCATAATTTTATTTGCTAAGTAAATCTCATATCTGTCCATACCTTCATCTCTACAAAGCCAAAATTGAAGTTGAGCTACCAGCAACTCTCAGTCTGGCCTACTGACAATAGTCTTGTCATTTCTTGCTCCCTCAAATCTGTTCTCTTCTCTAAAGTGAGAAAGACTTTTTTCAAAGGCCAAATTACATGTGTCATCCCCCTGTGTAAAGCCCTTCAATGGCACTTATGATAAACAGAAAAAGTCCTTAACATAGCCCACAAGTTCTTCATGGGTTGACTCCTAGCTCCCTCTCAGCCTTTTCTGGAACCATATTCTTCTCACTTCTCTTTCATCTCACCACCCTTTTTTTAGTCCTTCCTCTTCACCCCAGGGCCTTTGCACATACTGCTCTGCATCTGGCAGAATTACCACTCCCCTTTTCATTCATTGAAAGCTATTCTTGTTTATTTCATTTCCCCCTCCTGGCCTGAGTTGAACACATCAACACATCTCACAGCACCATGCACATTTACTTTCGGGCACTTGTTCCATTTACAATTTCACTTTTATTTATGTAGACAGGGATCAGGTATGTTTTTGCTGAGCACAACGAGCACATATCTGGCATGTAGCAATACTGTATACAAAATATGTTCGCCGAATTAATGAATGAAAGCCTGGAGAGTGAGAATTTACTAAATATTGAATGTGATTTGAATGTTAAGGTGATAGAGTGAAAAATAAATGATTAGTCCTTAGAGTCTATGAAATGAGTTAGACCAAAAAAAAAAAAAATCTATGAACGTCTTAAGGGCAGAGGCCCCTTTCCCACACTGCTCTTTGGATGTAGGCAGGCATCTCTGACCCTCCAGCAGACACAGTCAGAGGATAATGATGCTGTGCTCTTGGCAGAACAGACCTCTTTTTAAAAAATCTCTTGCTATTAAAAGCTTACAAATCCTAGGTGAAATATAATAAATATCTTTTAAAATGCATAGCTGAGTTCTCAAGAAAATGAATTTTCTAGGGTCAAACACACAGGGACCAGAAAACCGGAACCAAGCCTCTGAACTGATGCTAGCAGCCTCAAGAGGAGAGCAGTTCGCCAGTCTGGGAAACACAGGATTTGGATTGTAAATCCATGTGGTTCAAGAGGAGAAACCCCAGGGCCTTCATGAAGTAAGAGTGAGAGAATAGGAACTACGACTCCCACATAAAACTGGAACTTGACCAGTCCTCTGTGAAGAGTGGATGAGGGGGAGAGAGTGCTCCAAGTGCACAAGGAGACCATTAAGAAGCTTATCCATCTCAGCCTGAATCTCTGTGGGGATGGGAGAGGAAGCCTTTCTGAGAACTGATAGCCATAGGCCCGCTTCATGTAGATTTGAAGCTCAGATAAAGCCACTATGGGATGGCCTGTCCCTCTCAATGCGAAGCTAAAAAGTGGCCCATGCCAATGATAATCCTGGGATCCCTGACAAAAGTATACACAGAATCTCTCTGGAGGGACAGAAACTCAACCTCAGCCTGTACTGGCTCTCCACTAAAAACAAAAACAAAAACAAAAACAACTCTGAAGAAAACTCACAATCCAAAATTACAAAACACTCAAACTGTCTGCCATGAACAAGGATCAGTAGACACAGGGATGAGGAACATCCCATCCCACCCCTCCACCACTACCAAGAATTCCAGATACCAGAACTAATAGATAGATCCAGTTTAAACATTCTAAAATTAAAATGTTTACAAAGACTAGTGATATAAAAGTGGACACCGAAAACATGATAAAAGAATTAAAAAATTTTATAGTCAGATTTTACAAGAACCACATAAAACTTCAAAGTTAATAGAATTATTCTTTCAATGACTGTTAAAAAAATAGATAAGCTGAAATAAAAAACTCATAGGATACATTAATACAGATTAGACAGGCCCCACTGAACAAACAATAAACTGTAAAGAGATTAAAAAACCCAGACTTCAGAAAAGTATTCAGATGCAGTACCAAAAGTTAAACAGAGAAAACAAAAAAAGTGTTGAAAGACAGGGAGGAAAGAATTAGAAGTTCCAACAAAAAAAACACAGAAGGACAGTATAGGAAAATAATTTTCTAGACTTGATGGAAGACATGAATTTTCAGGTTCAGAATTGCAATGAACCCAAGGAGGATAAAGAAAATGAAAGCCGCATCCAGAAAAGCTGCAAAATGATGGAACTCCAAAGCAAAGATAGCTTTGAAGCAACTGGTGAGGATATATTTATGATCTACAAAGGAAAGGCAGATGAAAAGGACAGGAAATGGTATGGGGACTAGGGTAAGTGGATGAGAAAGCTCAGATCAACCAAATTAGAGTAGAGACTTCAACTGGAGTGAGAGTCGGGGACTATTAAGGCACCATCGTTTTGCCAGAGGATGGAAGTCAAAAGCTCTTAGAACACTGAAAAGGGATAATGAGGTAGTCTCCCATCTGCATATGTAAGTATAAGGATGCCAATCAGTGAGATGAGAATAGATGGGAGTAAGAGAGAGACAGGAAGATGAAAATCAAAGTGAAATATTAAGAAAGAAAAGCACCTTTAACAGAGCTGCTACTCCTTTAACATATTTTGGAAAAAGCATCTATCACTACTGGTCTCTTCGTGTCTGCATCAGGGGTGGGTGGCATGGGAGTTTATTCTGAAAGAAAGCCAAGGAACAGTCTTCTGCTCTCCAAGTTATTGCACATCACACATTAAAAGACCACTTCAAGGATTTTCTTTATCAAATTTGCAATATTTCCACAAATTCAAATCTCAACCTCTATTACCATTTAGGTTAGGATTTGATTATACTGCTTAGATGTTCCTCATAACTCCTAACCACCATGTTATTTATCTTTTCTGTGGAGACTGCAGTTTGGTAAGTTCTCAGTATCTCTGCTGCTCAGAGCTCATCACTGGCTGCCACTTGCAGACTCAACATTCTCTTGGAAGGTGACCAGGTACTACTTAAGCGATCTCCAACAACACACACTCAGTACAGCTGGAATAATCCTCAGCTAGTAGGAAAGATGAGTAAGACCGCAGGATCAGCCACAGGCAGGACCACCCTTCCAAGTGCTGAGAACCAGGGAGGGAAGGCTCCAAAGACACACATTCCATTGCACCCTTCCCAAGGCAGGCCATCCCCGTGTGGCTCCAGGATGGACAAGTCAAGTCAAGTCCAGAGCAATCCTCTACTTAACGTCTCTGTGGCTCAGTTTCCTAACTTGTAAAATAAGCAGAATAAAACCATGTAACTTTATGTTAAAAATTAAATAATTCTTGTAAAACAAGGAAATCATACTCAATGAAATCATATTTATTATATTTTCACCTACAGCTGGCTTCATCTATCCACCCGCCCCCTTAATCTAATGGCCCTCAGTAAATACTTTTGCCAGAAAGTTAGTTATAAGCTATATGTGAAAGCAGCAAGGATTTGATGAACATCAACTTATTTCCCTCCTGGAGAACATTTCTCACTACTTGATCAACAGATGGAGATCTTTATTTTCTAGAGAAATACTCTCTCAGTTCCATGTAAACCATCAACAGTTTAGAAATTCCCTAAACCAGATACCTGAACCAGTTTTCTGAGGGGCATACCTGTAGCAAATGCTGTTAGAGTA